TTTTTATTCTTAAAATGTAAATCATAGTCTGAGACATTTTCCAGGCTGCAAAAGGCAAATGTCAAATTGTGATGGTTTTTTGTCCGGCCACTGAGGTCCAAATAATTTGTGATCACCCTTTGTCTGTCCATTCCGAGGTATGTGATTTAATAGAATATTATTGCTTCGCGATTTTGTAGTTGCCGTGCAAATTTAGCATTTAGGAAAACCAATACCAGAATCGTAACTGGTACTTATTAATCTTACTATAATATAAATGTATATGTCCGCCACAAATGTTTTATCTCAATAATGTGTAAAAGTTGTCAACGACTTGCGAACAACACTAGTTTTGTTTGAGAAACATATAAACAAATTTCAAATATCCCATTTGAAGTAATGATGATTTTATTACAATTACTAGTATCTGTACACAAGTAAACATAAACTACATGTAAAATAATACTTATATTCCAAATATAATATTCCACTGTTTTCATTATAAGAAACTGACAAGTTTTCTTTCATTCTTCAATCAAATACTATAAGATTACATGTAAAACGTATATCAATTACCAATCTGGTGAATTTGTAATTATAGTACTTGTGTACAAATTTACTTCATTAAAATTGAAATTTATTAATAACAACACATATAAGTTTAAGCATAATGAATAACTATTTAAGAATGATTTAGTGCGCTTCCGGGATTCAATTTAAACCTGAAATAACAAATGTCCTAAATAGTCCAATAATTAGGCGTCCTAAATATACGTTGTATCTCACAGTTATCAATTTGACAATTAAAGCAGATGATTCACTATTTCACGATGGTTTACATAATCTTGTTGCTAATAAATATCGTTACATATTTAATCGTTAGCATAAACATATATAAACAAACGAAAAAAACAACATGCTTGTTGAACATACATTTGGCCAACATTATTTATATAAACGTCATGTCCATGGTGTCTTACATTCAGTTGATTAAATTTATTATACCTCACCGATACCACTTTGTTATCCATTTCTATAATGTCAAAAAACCTTAATCAATTCGAATTACATGCATTACAAATGATTGTTCGCATGTATTACGTATACAGTTATTTCCTTAACAAAAATTCTATGAAACATTTTTTTTGTACCTATTGTCTAAAAGACAGTTTTGATCCAATTGTGTGTTATAATCATTTTGTAAATCTCTTAATGACACCCTTACCGTCCACGCAAGAATGAATATTTTTACACATTCACATACATGTAAGCATAGTCTTTAACAACTTATATACTTTTAAGAAATTTTTACGTTTGTTTCCAAAAAACTTCCACTGCTGATGTAAAGATGTTGATCGTTAGCATTTCAAATACATTGCTTGTGGGCCTGTTATTCCATCTCCTGGTCCTAATATCACGATAGCCTCGCTCAGGTCTGACTTCATTTTGTACACGATGTGCTGGTTTCTGTTACAGACGTAGACTGATCCAGACGGAACGATGATGATACTATACGGACATTCTAGCTCACCTTGATACAGGTTTAACATGTTACCATTCATATCAATGGAAATGACTTTGTCCAACTGCCCGTCACTTACGTACAAAACAGTTTCGTCAGTATTCACAGCAAAATTGTGAGGGAAAACACAATGTTTTTGCACCTCATCATCAGGTTTGATCGTCTTGATTATTGACCCTGTCGGCTGGAGCTTCTGAAACTTTACAGGCATCCAAAATGACACATAAAAATGTTTGTTCACCATCCTTCACGCTTGCAGTACGCCGTTTGTTTTTTATTGTGCGGTCTATAACCAGTTTCCCTCGTGTGTCTAAAATCTGTATCAGATAAAACAGTCTTTTAAATACAACAGCTATCTGGTTCATTCGACATCGCTGTTACTGCAAGTGCTTTGATTGTAATGGTAAAACGTCTTTAATGCTGTTTCTTTGTTGATATCCACGAGTTTCAAGCATTATTATTGAAAGCATCCACATAGGACAAGCTCGTTTTCTGAGACTAACGTCATGTTCTATGATTAAGGACATTCCTCTTTTGTCAGTATATGATGCAACTTTAATATCTCGGACGAAAGTAAATTCTCCAGTTTTGTTTTCCTCACCGGTCATTTTGTCTTTGATATTTGTCTTAGAAATTGAAGCGGCTGCATCAAGACCGATTCCATCAACTACTGCTTTGTCCATTTTAAGAAGGTGGTGCTTAGTTAATTCATCTCTAGAATGGCACTTGCAACATTCATCGCAAAGATAAAAGCAACAATCTTCACAGTATCCAGCTGGTTTTACTTCTGCGCCAAATTTTTTACACGCTGTGCAGAATTTAGGGGATTTTCTTGGTGACATGTCATCTTTTCCAGGCTTAGCGTGATTCTTTGATGACTTTCTATTTAAATGACTCACAAAGCACGTGCTGCAAAAATATATTTTACAACCTGAACAGAACCACTCAGCCATGGCATTATCTCCGACATTTTTACAAGGATCACATTTCTGGTATTCTTCCGAACTTTTGTAACCTGATGCTGCTGTTTTCTTGTCACTAAGTGTGTCTTCCTCAGAACTGATATACACTAATGCATCAGATATTTTTGTTGGCGTTCCCTCTGATTTTTTGTCCCGGAGGATGTCTTCTTCAGAGCTGACATACACTGATGTATCAGAGCTTTTTGTTCGCGTTCCCTTTGACTTATTGTCAAGTTGTTTGCCTACCTCAGAGCTCGCATACACTGATGCATCAAAGCTTTTTGATCGCGTTCCCTCTGATTTCTTGTTAAGTTTTTCGTCTGCCTCAGAGCTGACATACACTGATGCATCAGAGCTTTTTGTTCGCGTCCCCTCTGATTTCTTGTCACGTTGTCTGTTTGTCTTAGAGGTGACATACCATGATGCATTAACGCTTTTTGTTTGCTTTCCGTCTGATTTCTTGTCAAGTTGTTTTGTCTGCCTCAGAGCTCACATACACTGATGCATCAGAGCTTTTTGTTCGCATTCCCTCTGATTTTTTGTCACGTTGTTTGTCACCATCAGAGCTGACATACATTGATGTAATAGAGCTTTTTGATCGCGTTCCCTCTGATTTCTTGTCACGTTGTTTGTCACCCTCAGAGCTGACAAACACTGATGCATCAGAGCTTTTTGTTCGCGTTCCCTCTGATTTTTTATCACGTTGTTTGTCACCCTCAGAGCTGACATACACTGATGCATCAGAGCTTTTTGTTCGCATTCCCTCTGATTTCTTGTCACGTTGTTTGTCACCCTCAGAGCTGACATACACTGATGCATCAGAGCTTTTTGTTCGCATTCCCTCTGATTTCTTGTCACATTGGTTGTCACCCTCAGAGATGACAGGAACAGATGTATCAGAGCATCCCTGTATTTTCACCTTTCCCTGTGGTATAGGTTTTATCATTATTATGTCTTTTCCTTTTCGTCGTCCACTTACATTGTCAGCCATCTTAACAAAGTTCAAATTCCAGAAATAAATTAATACACAATAGCTAACGGTTCTACTTTTATATTTTTTTTAGTTTTGTCTTTCATGAAAATATAATGAGTTTAAAAAGATTATTATATTTTCTGATTTTTACATTAATTCACAGATTAAATCGTCCTATGTAAATGTCGCCCTTATCTTACTGTTTCCCTTAAACAAGGTACATATCTATAGAAATTATCAAACACTTGCAGGTAAAACAAATACCCTCATCGACTGTTTATTTCGATTAAAACCACAAAACCCATTATAACGAAGTGATTGATGAGCTCTTTTTTATTATAATCTGTCTTTCAATACAATCTTTTAATACAAAAGCTATCTTGTCACAAGATAGCGTTGATACTACAGGTGGTTTTGATTATTTTCTATATTTATATTATTCTTTAAAAATTGTATACATAGATTTTTCTTTTTTTATTTTATCTTTCTTACTTGAAGTTTGGCCTTAAAGGGTACACATGCATTAATTTGATCATAGCCATGAGCAGCATTATTGAAAGCATTTGACATGTAGAATAAATAACACAAACCCGAATGATTTTGTTCAAGATTATATTCATCTGTCAAGAATAAAGGCATGAAAAACAGTTGTTTACACAGTGTAATTCTTTGAAAGTGTTACGCCGGATATATCATTTAGAATATATCCTTTTTCAAAACTGCATGTCTGTATATGCAATTATACATCTTGCTTTGACTTAGTTTAAGTGACCTATATGGTACGGTGACCTTTATTATCTAAATAAGCAAGGACTGGTTATACAAACCTTTGGCGGACCAAAGAATCTTTTGCCCAGAACACTCCTAAACACCAGTAAGCAGACGGACACAACTGGTAACATGATTTTAAATTGAGGAAACCGAAACTATTTAAATATACTAAATTGAAAAATTTAATTTCAGATAAAAATTATAAATAAACAAGTTACAGCGTTAAGAAAGTTTTAGCGACTTAAAATTTCTTAAATGGCATAAAAATTCTTATGTCCAAAATAGACTTTTGACAAAACGGAGAGAATTCAATCAAAAACATTAAAACTATAAGAAAATTCTAAACGAAACCAAAAAAAATAATATGTGACTGAATAGCTAAAGAACTAAGAATAAAAATCTATCAGTAAAGACGAAAAAAACAAAAAACGTTTAAGCTGAACCAGATGACCGATATAGTAGAAGAATTTTATACGACAATTTGTCTTCTATTCTAATCTTATTTTGTTAGATATATGAACTGCTATGTGTATACACTTATTGTAAATTGTAAAGTGTTTATATATACAAGGGCTGTTAAATAAATACGCGGAAATGTGCTGCCATATTTTTAATATTCATGGGAAATTGACGTTCTCTTTACATTTTGTAAAGAAACATATAATAAACATGTACACAAACTTTCAATAAAATCGGATAAAAATTAATAGTACAATTTCAAGTATTTCTAAGGTTATCGCAGTGAAACCGGCCCAACGTCGTAACGACGTCACGCTCAACGCATGTATGAGAGTCACCCAAAACACGCACCTAGTCCTTCTCGAAATACTCTCCGTGAAAGGAAACACATTTTTTTACAACGGTTGATCCATGACATGAAACTATTAAAGTAGGAGCCATTATTTATCTCTGAAACAAGATACAACTCGTCCACATCATCAAAGTGTTCTCCCCGCAGGACGTTCTTCAGTGTCGGGAACAGAAATAAATCGCATGGTGCGAGGTCAGGGCTGTAGGGCGGGTGCTCGAGGACTTCGAAGCCGAGTTTCCTGATTGTGTACTGTGATTCGGCCGCACGATGAGACGGTGCGTTGTCGTGATGAAATATCGTGTCGGCGATTTTCGTGGCCCGCCTTTTTCTCATCGCCCTCATTAAATCGCGTCTTAGAATCTGAAAGCATAAAGAAATACAATCATAAGTAAATTGTCGTTATAATTTATTTCATAATTACGTACAGAATATAAATAATTATTAGGTAATGTATTGACATAATAATGAATATCTTATCATAGATTAAATAAATTTATTCACCTTAGAATAATACTTCGCCGTCACAGGCTGACCCAGTGGTGCCGCGATGCTCAGTATCACACCGTCGACGTCAAAGAAGATGATGAACATCTGTTTCCTTGCAGATGGGCCGACTTAAACTTCTTAGATGAAGGCGATCCTGGAGTTTTCCACATAGAAGACTGTGAGTTCGTTTCAGATTCGTATAGGCTGATCCATGTCTCATCAACAGTCACTATCCGTCGCAAGAAACGTTCACCTTCCCTATGAAAGCGTCTGAGAAATTGATTGCAACACCGCACACTTTCAACTTTTTGTTCGTCCGTCAACATTTTAGGAATCCATCTGGCACACAGGCGTCTCATATTGAGTTTATTGTGAATAATGCGATGCACTGTGCCAAAGCTACAATCCGATCTTTCGTGTATTTCGCGAATTGTTATCCGACGATCATTGTTAAGCAGCTCCTTTATCACAGCGACATGATTTGACGTTACGTTGGGACGTCCACTGCGTTTGTCGTCATGGATGCTTTGTTGGCCGCCTAGAAATCGGGCATACCACTTGTACATTGCTGTTACTTCATCGCCTGATCACCATATGCTTTTTGTAATCTTAACATTGTTTTTTTTTTTTTGAAAACCCGTTCAAAACAAAATTTTTATTGAAGATCGTTGTTCCGATGCCATTTTAACGCATACGCACTAAACAATATGGCCACTCAACGCCTAAATGACGTCACACACTAACATTACGTCATGTGCGTAACGCCAACATATTGCGCGTTATAATGCAAAGTTTGATGAAAATCGCACGGTAAAAGTTAAAATGCGACGTTATTATTAACCAGTGACTATTTGTAAAAATGAACAAAAGTGGGCCGGTAATCGCTACATGTAGTTACCATAACGACTGTTTGTTAACATATGATTCATGCCAGAACGGCAATATTTTGCTGCATATTTTCAAAAAATGTTTGTCTCTATTACTATATAAGTTTTATTCAGCGAACTTGGAAAATAAGGAAATAGCGACACTTTTCTGCGTATTTATTGAACAGCCATCTTATAATATATATTCTGGGTAATAAAGTCGGTTTAATAAGTTTTAACATAAATAGAAACTCACAAATAAAAAAAAGCCGGCTGAAGAGAGATCTGAAAGTGACAGAAAACATGAATATAATATCTGAATGAAATTATCATTATGTAGACATAGAATTAGATGTTGGTGATTTTAAAAGTTGAATTGACATGTGCCAATTAGCGATCGTTATAAGTTTCACGCTTAAGTGCTGCGAAGTCCACCATTTTCCTCAGACAAGCTAATTGTATTAGACAATGGTGCAGAAATAATTTGGATTTCAATTATTTAAATTTGCTGACAATTTCAATCTATTTAATCGGTATATTAATTAAGTAACCAAATATACTGACATATTGACAGATCAAGTAAGTTGGTTTATTATAAAAAAGTCAAAAAATGTGTACATATGGAAATAATAAGTTTTGTAGCAGTTACGAACCATTTATCCTGGCTTAAACATAATGCATTGAAAAAGGAAAAGGCTTATACAAATCCACTTATTTCATTACCATTCTATCTATTCATAATCACATTATAATTCATAATGTCCCAGAATATCTGGAAGATATGGATTTTTTTTTCGTTTTAACGTAAAGCGATCCCTTCTCTGGCGTAATTTTAATTATTCCCTATTCATGGAAAGTTGGTGTTCTGTCAATTAAGAACGAAATGATTTTTCTTTTAATTTCAAATCCCCCTTGTTTAAGAGAAGTGAACATCGGCGTTCTTCGCATTACTTAGAAATAACCCAGGTAAAATTTGTTCTTAAATCGTGTCAAATGTAAAAAGACTATACAATTAGAAGGATTAAATATTGATAAAGTATTAATTTTAAGCACCTTGTATGACGTTGCAGTGTACGTTTTGACTTCCTGGTAAAAGATTAAGTTAAAGGAGATTAATTTATCAAATGTTGAAGATAACTTTATTGAATCAATTTGTAATCATTTTAGCAATTTTAAGCGGCAAATCAATATGTTATTGACAAGGGTTTTTCAAAAGAAGATTTTAATTCGTTCTTCTGAGAAAGAAAAAGGATGTATACGTTTTATGACTTAAGATAAAACAGTGGAATTCCATAAATGTATGTTCAATTGACAGTTAACCGTTCCAAAAAATATTATCTAGTATCAAATATATACTAGCAAATTGAGATTGAACGTAAGAGAACTCTTTCTCTGTTTATCTAGTGTTTCTTTATTTGATAGAGTATTTTTACCAGTTTACCTTCATTTTTAATATGTATCAAGACATTAAATCTTGTGTTTCTGTCAATAACAGTTTTTCCCCGTTTTTTTGGCAGTTTCTGTTGGGTCCGTCAAGGGAAAAATTTGTCCCCCATTTTATTTTCTATTTATCTGAATGATTTGGACGACTATTTAGCCATAAATAACGGAGGTATCAATATTGAAAAAAATGATGACAATATTATAACATATTTAAAACTCTTTGTATTACTTTATGCGGATGACACGATTATAATTAGTGAAAAAGAAGATGAGTTTCAAAATTTACTCTATGATTTTAATTGTTATTGTGAACAGTGGAAACTGTCCATAAACATGACTAAAACAAAAATAATTATATTTGGAACTAACAGACCCAATAATTATAATTTCCATATTAACAATGTACAAGTAGAAATAGTAAAGGAATATAAATATCTTGGCATATTATTTTCATCTTCTGGTAGTTTTTTTAATGCTCGAAAATCGATTGCAAGTCAGGCAAATAAAGCCATGCACATACTTTATACAAGAATATTTAACTTAGACTTGCCGTTGGACATTCAATTAAAGCTTTTTGACCAAACCATCTTACCGATCCTTACGTATAATTGCAAAATCTGGGGATTTGAAAATTAGATATGCTCGAAAAAATACATTTCTTAAGAAAAATTACAAAAAGCAGAAAAAGCACGCCACTTTATATGTTCTACGGAGAATTAGGTCGATATCCACTGGAAATTATTGTTAAAACAAGAATGATAAATTTTTGGTCTAAATTATTATCGGGTAGTACAACAAAAATTTCAAGAATATGTTATGAAAATATGCTTCATTCTACAGTTTGCTTTAAATGGTTAGATTGTATTAGAAATATTTTAAAACGAAGACCGGAAATACACATATTTGGATATATCAAAAGTCAACAAATGTCAAAAAAATATTGGTAAAAACATTACGAGAATATTAAATCGACCAATTCATTTTC